CGGGCTCCACGCACGCGAGAGGTGGGCGTCTCGCAGGCCCGTGGCGCGGTTCGGACTCCCCCCACAGCAAAACGACCGCCCGACACGAACCAGGTGGGGTCAGAGCCCGCCTTCCTGTTCTCTGCACGACCGCGGATCCTGAGAAAGGAAAGGGGTGTGTGGCTCCGGGACCCCGCCGCACAGGGGAAGTCACTCGCCGGGTCTCCAGCGGCGCAGCCTGCGGCCAGCGGGGAGGCTTAGGAGCCTCTGCGGGGCTGATTCCTTCGCCCCCGGCTGCTGTTCTCGTGCCCCCACCGTCGCCCACCCCCGCGCAGAGCTGCCCGCGCCGGGGGTCGTGCTCCTGCCCGCTTTGGAAGCGCCGCTGCCTGGGGGCCGCTCGCCTTGTGTGCATGCGGGCGGCGCTCACCTCCTTCCTGCCCGCGCCAGCGCTCGGGGAGCCTCGAAGTCCAAACATAAACCAGATCGACGCCCCCTCCCTTTTCCAGGCTGTGACGAACGATGGCTTCGTGGGCTTGTAAGTCCACGCACGCGGCAACCGAGTGTCCACACATCTGTGCACCCACTTGGGTGGGCGTGGCTGGGCAGGGGACATGGCCCAGTGAGTGTGCGTGTGGGGGGTAAGGTTCTATGTTCACGTGTCCAAAGACAGTCTTAAGAAGTAAGCAGCAAGGACGTATCCACGATAGCTCCACTACGCAGAGGCTTCGCCTACGGACGCTTCTGAGAGCTTCCCTTGTGGCAGCAAGCGGGTCCGTTCCTCCGCTACGTTAACCGCTTTCAGATTCCAAAACTGACTGATGGAGAATGGGCAGAGGGTGGTTGGTGCAGATGTGATACCAATACTAATTAATAAGCATGGTCTACGTCCCCTTCTTCTTCTTTATTTCAAGTAAGCTGGCATGTTTGATCAACACCAGATTTGCTGCCTGGAAGTTTTTTATCTTGTTGTTCTGAACAAGGACCCTAATTCTTCTTAGGAATAAGAGAACCTCTCTGTTGGGTATACAGTATTCAGTTGGTCTGAGAAAACACAAACCCCACTCAAGTCTCCAGACTTGTTTACACAGAAAACTGAACCTGTGGCTGGCCTAGAGTCTGAGCCTATTCTGGGCATTGTTTATTGCAATCTGCCCAGGCCCTCCTGCCCCCACCACAGTCACCACCACACACAAACCTGGAGAATGGAACCTTTCTTTGGAAAGGGGGGTTGGAATAGGATTGGGTGACCATGGTATTAGGTCATGCACACACTGCTGAGGATGGCCACATTGGAATTTGATAAGATGATGGCCATAAGCTTTTATTCCCAGGTGGCCTAATAAAATGGTGGGGAGATAATCAGTGTCTCCAGCAAACACAGAACTCCACATGTGGTTGCTGTGGCTGCAGCTCTGATCATTATACAGCCTAAGCTTACCCTGGACACTGAAGTTACTCAGCCTGTGGGTTATGCTGCCCAGAAAACAAAACAAAACGAGAAACACCACCACCAGGCAGCAAATTCCTCCTTGCATTTCTGTGTCTGATGTATTGGGTGCCTTCTAAGCCCTAATGAGCCTCACTTTGTACAGTAAATTTGCTGAGACATAAAAAAGTATTTAAAAGAAAGTTTCCTGTTTTTTTTCCTAATGAGCAAGGTGAGGATTTATAGTGTGGGGAGGAGGGACTCCGGCAGCCAGGGCCAACACTGAGGCAAGCCTATTTAACATACCCTGGCTTAAGCGCCCTCATGCATTTGTGGGGTTCAGAGTGCTTAGTTGTGGGAGTATAGAGACATGCAGTTAGGGAGTGAAAAAACGCCATTTGGTTCGGAGCAGATGGCTGGCTAGGGGGCTGATGGCGTCTAAAGGCGTGTCGTCCCCTCCAGCTCGAATCCCTAAGGGCTCCCCTTGTCTTCCCAATCAATGAAAATTAAAGTGCAAAGAAAGGATGAATAGTTGGACCTCGAGTCTCTCCTTTGTTCATCCCAGCTACTGGTGCGCAGGAGTTAAACTACAACAGGCTCCTATAGAAACGCTGAAGTTAAACAGTCTCCCCGTTAGCACAGCTTTTGAAAGAGAGAGGGAGAGAGGAACAAACTTGGGGGTGGGAAGAGAGAAATGGGGGAGAGGAAGAAGGAGAAGAAGGAGGAGAAGGAAGAAGAGGAAGGAGGTGGAGAAGGAGAAAGAGGAGGAGGAGGAGGAGGAGGAGGAAAAAGAGAAAGGAGAAGAACAGGAGGAGGAGGAAGGAGAGGGAGAAGAAGAAAAGAGCTTTCTGCTTGATTTCCCCAATACAGAATCGCGTGGCATAAATTAAGTTGGAAAAGAATGAACGCTTTGGGCAGGATTCTGATGGATTTTACGATGCCTTTCAGTTCCGCTTTGCCGCCGTAATCGAGAAATCTGTGCCATGTCAATTTAACAAATACTTGATACTGAGGGGGGTTTGTTAAAGATTTGGGGCAAGTCTTTTTTCCCCCAAGGTTTAAGCCCTTGCGCGTGGAACTTTTTATTTCCAGTTTTCTAAACAGGCATTCAAATGAGCCTGTTTTCCACTTCCATTTTCTAATTAAAAGGTTCCTGATATTTCATTTCTTACTGAAATCTACGCTCAGTCTTACAGGCAGAGGATTCTGGATTCTGACCTCGAATTCTTTTCTTTTACATTTCTTCTGCTCCCCAAGCGCTCTCACCTACCCCCACCCCCACCTCCACCCCCCAGCACAGGGAACAGCTCCTGTGCCTTAGGGAAGCAGAATGCTCAGAAGTCAGCTTTTGGAGGAAACATCAACCTAGAGAAAAAAGGATCCTGACACTAGGTGGCAAGATTAAATTAGGATTTGAGCTGGCCCCTCCCTGTGGTGACAGCAAGTCCCTCTAGAGCCCAAAAAGGACACCATCATGGAGGTGGCAGCATCTTCTGAAGACCCCATTTGCTCTGAACCAAACAGTAGGGGGTTCACGGTGAGGTCCCAGCCTGGCTTTCTCACCTGGCACTAACCATCATATGCTTGTTTCTGCTGGTTAACTCTTCGCTATTCCAGGAGGCAACAGTGGAAAACCTAAAGTCGACATCTCTGTTGATCCTAAAACTTTACAGGTATTTGGGAAACAAGGTAGCAGGAGACAGGCTGGGTCACCTGAAGAGGAGTAGCAGTTCCAGCTGCGCGACAGCCAGAGGGCCTGCCCTGGACGACTTTACCACGTGACCTTCAGATGTCTGGCTGCAGTGGTTGTCCTTGGTGTTCCAAGACTCCCTCTGCTTAGACACTTTGTGATCAAGACATCTGCCGGGATGAAAGTCACATTCTGCCTCGACAGTGCCCTGTTCTCACCAATAAGGCAGTTGTAACCCACCTACAGAGGACACTGTGGCCAGTCTGCTTCCTTGGGGCTGAGCTACAATCAAAGGGGGCACTCCAACAGTCACCTGGAACCCTACGGTTTGAAGCTACGGAGGTGTTGGGGGTGGTCAGGGAGCCGCTGGCGGGGATGGTAAAGAGAGGAAGTGCAAAGCTAGGTGCCACAGTCGGAGTCTCTGCCCCAACTTACTTCTCCATCGTGCCTAGGAGGGCAATTTAGATAATTCATTGTGTGATACGTGTGTTCTCGACCCTCCCAATAAACTCATTTCCCTTTAAAAAATGAAAACAAAAGTTCTAGTGTCTGATGGACGTGTAAAAACCTAATAAGGTGACGGTTGTGTAAAGGTTGTGGGTTGGGGGCCGGGGCTGGATGGGGCTTTAGAACATGTGCCGGACATTGTTGCAGAGGCCGCGGCGCGCGCGGAGGGGAGCTCTTTCTCTCCGCATTGTGCGGGGAGCAGGTGCTGTCTGCATTACCATACAGCTGAGCGCACAAAGAGCCACTGATTCAGCCTCGCACAATAACAGGCTGCCTTAATGACAGCCACGCGAACGACACACACCAAACTCACTTCTTACCAGGCGGAGGGAGGCCGAGGGGGATACCCGGGAGAGAAGGGCCGAGACCCGGGGAAGGTGGCGGCGGCCGGGGATCCTGTGGGGGAGGGCGCGTGTCTATGGGGGAAGTTGAAGGCCAGGTTCTCCTGGCTCCGGGGATGTGTTGCCCGGCCCCCGGGCCCCCACTCCCAGTGGCCGCGGACCACGAGAGGGCACCGAAGGCGCGGGGATGCCGGTGTCCCGGGGGCGTCCTGGCCCTGCCCGCGCGTCAGTTCTGCACTCCCCCAGGCTCAGTCGCCATCCTGGGCCAGGAGGTGTCCCCGCGTCGGACCTCCCCAAACTTCCCGAAACTGCCGCTTCGCTCTAGAAGCCCTCGGTCCACCGCTCCGCCCGCCCCTTTCCTACGATGCTCCCCGAGTCGCCACCCCCGCCTCCGCCCCCGAGAGACTCCTCCTTAGGAAGCGCCTGCCCCGAAGAAGGGGCGGCCCCCCGAGAGCTCGGGCCTGGAACTTCATCCTCCTGCTCGCAGCCGCCCTCCCCAG